CGGTTCAAAATATGCCTTCAATATTACTTTCGCTCAAGGAAAAATTCAATCTACCCAATATTCGTAATGCATTCTTGTTCATTTCCAGGTGGATTTTTCATTATTTGTATGAACGAATTCGACGCTCCGTGCAGTATTTATCTCATGCATACCACCGATGAGAAGGAAACCAGGCGGTATGTCTCTATTTCTCTCTTGTAGCCCTTTTTTCGCCTTCATGATGAAGACATCCATCTCTTTTTATGGCACAATGTGAGTGTTTATAGATGGCTAGAGATGATCAACATAACCAGTAATGAGTTCAAACGCCTTCAAGGCCGACATAATGACTTTGAGAGTCCGACTTACGACATGCGAAAAGTGTACGTTTTACAGTCTGAACTTTGAAGTCAATTAAGATACCAAGGTTGAAATTTCTTATTTTCTCTCTGAAGGTTCATTTTCTTACAATTTCAGGCCACCGTGGCAACAAAGTCCACCACATTGCTTACCACCACCAGTGAGCCATCGCAAAAGCAGCAGTATGGATTCACAAGTTGTAGCGGCTCATGCTCATTTGAATCGTGAGTGTTACGTACACCCTAAATATAAATTTGATCTAAAGGATCATCACTGAGCTGGGGAACCGCTAACTAAAGGAGGAACTTTCGAGTTGAGGGTCGAGGGGTGCGACTTGAAGACGATAGAGCTTGAATGCTAGTTGCGAGGCCCAAAATTGCTTGTCTATTCCCGAACTCCGCCAGGTCAGAAAAAACCTCAATCGCGTGTTGTAACTGCGAAGAGATCTTGAAGAGGATATCTTACACTTTGTCAAACACACATCCGCGATAGCAGTATGTAGATTGGGTTGCTAAACAAGAACTTAGCAAGTTAAAAGGCCCCGCCTCTTTTAAAACCCTACATACATGACCCTAGGTTGTTTGTACACTCAAAGCATCTCATCTCCATATCATCATCAGATGAAATAATTTTAAGAACATCACTTCAACGGAATCGCTTCAATAATTTGGCACGGGAGTGAACCTGAAAAAAAATCGGAAATTGTCTGCATGCATCGCTGAGCCAGACAATTTCGCATTTTTCTCAGGTTCATCTCCTACCGAGAGACGGAAAGTGGTTTGTCAGTGGCAAGGTAATGGAGCACGCTTACACGACGCATCCCGTGATCGAATCCGGGGATCAAATCCTGGGTCGTGAGTCGCCCGGGCCAACCAAGCCTTCCATCCCTCCGGGGTCGGTTAATTGGTACCAGACTTGTCTGGGAGGATAAAAACACTGACTTGTACATCGGCTGGCCCCGCAAGTCATTGTATAGGCCACATCGCATTCAAACGCCACTACGAATGTACAAATGGAAGTAGAATGCGTGCCGCATCCCAAAAAGGGATTGATCAACGGCAAATGCTTTATCCTTTTTTCCTTTTTATCGGCGAACCAATTCCTATAACGTACTCTCTCACTTGCGTTTGATATTTCTGCCGAAAATAAGGTGTCCAAACGGCATTCCTTAACCCATTCGTGACAATGGCAGCCACCGGTGGCTGACAAAGATCTCACTTGTACAATGGTATCCACCGGTGGCTGCCGTGTTTCAAATGGAATTTGGAAAGTTTTCTTTCCTGAAAAGAATCTTCATACCCTCATTCATCTATGCCAGCCTTGGGCACGGGGAATCTCCATCCACTCAAATTTTATTGAAGAAAAATCTCCTGACTCTCCTGCTAATGCGCAAACCGGCGCGGTCGCGAATGGGTTAAAGGGGCTAAGCCATACCCCCCCTCTTTTGAACATGACACGAGCAAGGAAACACGGTTCGCTGCAAAACTGGGGCGGGCTTTGAAGAACCAAGACAGCAAGGAGAAGAGCGACACGCAGCATCCGCAAATATTTTCCCCTAAGGCGGATCCAGGCTTGTTGGGCGTTCCAGCTCCACGTATAAGGCGTATAAGCCTACATATTATGTAGCTTCCACAGCCTTTGACACGCACGCTTGAAATCGCTAAAAATGGGCATGCTGTCCTTCCTAACTTTTTCATGAACATCAAGTCAGCTCACTGTGGAATACGCCACTAAACAACAATACGGCCTCAGTACTGCTACACTAGTGCATACACGTATTTTTCAGACATGCATCGAGCCACCACTTTATCGTCAACTGAACAGCTCGATCGAAATCCGGACCTGAGCGACTCTCCCTCTCGGATGGCGCCACTCCACAAATTGAGCGTGGCCAGCTACCCGTTGTCCAGCAGCAAAAGCAGTGTCGACCTACATCTGACTCTCACAGCCGAGCCTTCAAGTATGAATATTCTACCGTAACTAGAAATAATGAATTGCTTCGACAGTATACTCAAGTCTATTTCAGCGCCCAGTGAGTGTCCTCGTTTTTCAAGATCGGTTTCGAATTCGTCCGATCGAGATGCGGAGGGGAAACGATCACGCAGTGCATCTCCACTGCTCATGGACAACAGTAAGCGGACAAGCCAAGAATCTCAAGAAACGCTCCAACAACCCAGCAGGGCAAGGTGAGCACGTTACCTAGCGGGCTCCATTTGGAAATGAATATATCATCACACGAAAAGAGGGGAGGCGTTGCAGGTGGAAGAGGGGCGAGTGTTCAACTCCGCCCATGTGATATGTTTAGAATAGCCTTGATGTCAGGGTCAACCGTCACGTTGGCCAATTTCGAAAATTTCATGACCCCCCTCTTCCACCCCCAAATACGACCCCCCACCCCCTCGTTGGACTTTGTCCAATGGACGGTGGACCCTGCTAAACGGTCCTTAGTGTATTCGCTTTTCATCACTGATTGATTGTTGAAGTTGAAGTTATTCTTCAGATCGGAGGTCTCTACACCAGCTGAAGAAGTAAGTGGCAGTTCCACAATAGTAGAAGACGAGCTTCGTTCCATCTCAAGGAGGTCGACGATTTGAGAAGAGGTATGTACACCGCGAATTTCTTGCTTTCAATTTCACAAGCACACTACATGTAGGTACCACACAGCAGACGGTATCGACGTGCTGAAACCCAAAGGAGCGATGTTACAAGGCGGAATTCTCAAGAGATTCTCTTGGAACGTCAGTTCCGCGGTTGGAGCGAGCAGCCGAAAGATATCCGCAAGACTTGGAGAGGTATGCTATCCAGGTTTTTCTAGGCGGTAAGGCAGAAATTCATAAGATTGCGATAGTTTCAGCACAGTAGACGACATTCTCAAGCGTCCACCGCCGCCTCTTCAGAATCGTTTGGTAGTTCTACGTCTGGAATCTCGTCATCGTCATCGCATGCAGAAAATGAGGTAGATTTACCCTTCGAAGATGCGGCATGAACTGCGCTCGCAAATGCTTGATTTTGGCTTGACTAGTAATAGTGTATTGTTTTTGAATGCCCCTCAAAGTTATACCTGCTAAATAAACCTGCTCGTTCCTACAATTGCTCTTAGGTCCCCAGCAAGTGAAGAGAGAGATAATCTCGCTTCCCACTCAACGTTCTGTTGCTTGGTGACGCGTGATAGAGAATAATAACTTGCTGAGTGTCATACTTGTGCTATACTATCCTGAATAAGCCACCAATACTATGCTTCCCATGGAATGCTAGTCCATCACTATAAGAAGCTTGGTCATGTGGTTTACACGACAGAAACTTTCATATCCTTTATGCACATATTGCCACTGAAGAAATTTAGCCTTGACCTACATATTGTGTTCGGTTTCAGCGCATGCAAACTTGCAATTCGTGAATCAATCGAAAAAGAAATTCGCATCGAGAAGGACAGACAAGAACGCAGACAACGTGGAGAAGAGCTCATGGATGATGAAGCTTACGATCCAGTCCCCGAAATTACTCGCGCACACTTCGAAGAGGCCATGAAATTCGCCAGGCGATCCGTTTCGGACAACGACATCCGAAAGTGAGTTTTCTATAGTGGTGTTCGTATTCCCTGTTTTTTTTTTCTCGTTGATGGTTAAACCTCCACTTTCTTATTTGCGATCGATTGAATTTTTTTGTTTTCCACGGAACCGTCTGCAAATTATTGCTCGTTGATTGCAGGTACGAGATGTTCGCACAAACCTTACAACAACAGCGAGGTTTCGGCAATAATTTCAAGTTCCCTGGCGAGCAGCCGTCGGCTCCTAACCAGCCATCAGGTGTCCCAGTTGGAGGAAATGACGATGATGACCTCTATAGTTAAATTTCTTTGCAATCATTGTCAATATACAACATATAACTTATTTATTTTCATTTCTCTCCACTCCTGCAATTACCTACTAAAATACTTCATACGCCTGTTCTGGCAGTTTCTCTCTTTTGCTTGATCCAGTAATGTTTTCCCAATGTTGGATGTCGAGGTATCACCCACGGGCGTTCTAGAAAATTGGTGATGCTGATGGTTGCATGTATTGTAAATTGAAGTGTGCAGTTTCGTTTAATTAATCGGTCATTTCACCTATTCGATGTTTACAATTTAGAACCATCGGGACATGTTTGGGCCAAGTATTTATCAAACGGTAGTTTACGACGGTCTTCATTTAAATTTAAAATGATGCACTTTTCGGTGCCTCATCCAATAGTACGGTTAAAAATGCTGAGAATTGATAAGAAGGAGGTGATGGCGACATAAGGCGAAATGCCATATTATAGCGAGGCTCACTTTAAAAAAGGAAATAGCCGTGCTACACCCATAGAGTAATATCCAGCTCGGTTATCCAACCCGATGTATTGATGTTGAAAGCGGTTTCACGAACCGCACTGGCTGACGGTTAAATGAGCAGGGTGAAGAGACCGTTGGGAATTTTCGGAGGACTGGGCGGGACTTGATGAAACGGGTATGGTGAAGCTTTTTAGAACATATCGTGGCTCTGAGCCGTACATGGAGGGGGCGGAAGGAAATCTTGGTGGCAGGCGGCGGAATTACAGCCAAAAGAATCACATAATCATGGGAACCTTGCGCCATTTCACCAAATCATGAAACCTGTTCTATCATCCATTAGTATGGAAGGATTACAGGAGGGTTCAGTGATTCTGCATTGGTACTCCATTTCGCACAGCATGGTTCAGCCATTTGATAGCTACTCCTTTGCAAAAATTGGGATTACTGCAGTCAGCACGAATTATTGTAACGAGTGCCTTTTCAATATTAAGCAAAAGCAGGAGGTGACAATTTTCTGCTCTTCGGAGTTTTGTTAAATACGACCACTGAAATCGCGTATGGTTCTGAGCATTGTGCGACCTTTACCTTCATATTTTCACAAAAAGAGCGCGCAGACGATATTATTTGTAAAGAAATATTAGGTTGAGACATGAGCAATGTACAGTTTTGAGACCGTCATGAATTCTGAACCCCGCCCAAAAACAAGTCAAAATTCATTGCTAAAGCTTTCAGCCTCGCGGTCATTGCCGATATCGGCTAACCGGCTCAACACGTTATACGTGTGAGTGCTGAAAGCTATGGTACGTATACCATGAAAAGCTGAGTTGGAATGAAATGGTGCCCCGGTAGCGTAACTGGTAGCGCACTTGCCCGGAAAGCGAGAGGTGCGGGTTCTAGTCCCGCCTGGGGCGAAAGTTTTGTTCACAACCCAGCATTCTTGTGAAACATTCGCAACGCGAACTGCGGCAAAAACAGCACGTTAACTAATCAAATCAAAAACAAGTCGAATTGAAACTGCTGAATCTGGGGGAGACAGACAAAACGATTGGTAGGATAGGGTTCTGTGTTAGGGTGAAATGTTTTTTTTATAAATTAGAAGGCCACAAAGAACTGCTATTGATGGCACTCCGATGACCAAATGAAGTTGTTTTCCGAGTTGTTTGCCAAAATAAACCGAGTTTTTTCGTTCTTCTCATTCTTCAGTGGGTCGCGACTCTCAAGCTAGCGATTTGTGGAGGACTTACGATCAGACCAGTGTTCTTTCCTTGAATGTTTTCATTGATTGCTTTCCGCCGAAGTTTCCTCCCAGTGCTCATCGGTGTCGTGGTTAGCAGAAATCGTCATCACGTTAGCTGTGCGAATAGCGAGCTTACCTTTAGCTTAGCGAATATTACTATGCAGAAATATGCACTTGTAAGCTTCCAATTTTAATCAAACCGTGTGCTCCACACGGAACGCTAGAGCGAACTATGCCCTGATCACTTTGAACTTAACCTGAAGGGGCACTGTATGGAATTGGCATGTTTGTCATGGATGTGATGGTTTGTCACATCCACCGTTCATTTAGGAAATCTTCTCATGGCTTCTATTTTTTGGACACGATTCTATGTAGGATGGATGCTCGATTATTTTCAGATCTCGCACACTCTGAGGATCGTACGCGTTGCTAGGCTAAGGTGATTGTTCTTGGTGACCTCCTATAAAGGTACAATCTGTGACTATCTGTTCCGTAAAACCTTGCGCTATAAAGGGGAATGGTTTGGAAGTGAAATCACCCATTGCTAGATTCGCGACAAAAATTTGCAAAGCCAGCGCCATATTCCAAAGACTTACGACTGACTCCCCCCAGTACCCGGGACTTCGCCCATTGACTAAAGTTAGCACCGTATGGCAAATGAGCTTGTGCAGGCTAATCATGTCACAAGGGGGCTAAAGAAATTTGGCCAGAATTTCAACCAGTATCGGTGAGTACATAGCAGGAAAACGTGTACGCAATGCCTTTTGAGGGTGGGGTAAGATGTCGAGGGCCCCTCCTTCAATCATTGGTCTTGGGGAGAGCTTCAAGTGAGATCTCCCCCCACCCCTCCACTCCACCAACACCGACCTCCTCCATCACCCCACAGATGCTTCTATAGCATTCGATGTCAACCATAAAACGAATCAACTCCGTCCATTACGTTGCCAACTGCGAGCAAAATATGTATAGTCCATGAAACGGCAAATTTTCGAATTTCGCCCATATTTTATGCTTCATTGTCAAGTTCCGTTCATTTTCATCACGAAAAAAGACCGCGATACGATTTTCTCTAGAACTGCGATCCACTCAACTTCCTCTGATACGACTCCCTGTCCACACTTTCCAAAGAGATACCTGTCTCGGTCAACTCCTGATACGACCAAACCTTTCAAAATCGCAAATACGGGCCAGCCTCACCCTATAACTATTTTTTTTCGTACTAAACTCATATTTCGAAAGTCAATGGTTCAATTAAAAGCCTTTTTTTCACGGGTTTCGAAGCTATTAGGTCGTCTCGAAACCTCGTGCGTATTTTGAACATTTCTTTGAACCTGTTCTATTTCAAGCACATGCACTATCTATCATAAGTATGTGTACCATCATTATCAGTGACTTCTTACCAATCATTAATCGAAGAGTGGCCACGTGACTCTCATAAGGCTAGAAGTTACGATCTGAAAAGGCTGTGAGGTCGATTTTGAGATACCCATGGGAATCGTATTTTTTGTCCGCGAAATCATTTCTGAGCAGGAAGAGCAGACTCTTTCGAAAGAAGGCTGATCACCGCTGCACGTTGGACATGATAGTAATTTTTTGCAAATCTTCGATGTCTAGATTTGCGTCAGTTCGAAACGTGTGATCCCGATTGACGTGGAGCGGACATACTTTTTTTGAGTTTTACGGTTGCTGGGGTTTCGCCGTGATCCTGCGCCGTTAGTCACACTAGTTTTGACTGACTTCACGAGGGGGAGCCAGTGGTTAACACGAAAACGTTCCAACAAAGGTAGAGCATTATCTTGCGATGAATGTGCCCAGTTTCCACTTTCTTTCGCTCGATCCAACCACTGCGGCTTCTGAGTGTCAACAGCAGTAGTGGCTTTGTTCAATCAGTGAGTGCAGGTGGAGTAGGAAACAAATTATAGTCGGAACTCGCACTCCTGTCATCAGTGGAATTTATGGGAATCCAGGGAATCTTTGGCAAAGCTTCAGCCCTCGAAGAAGAGAGAACCGCTACGAAGGGTGGTAGCACCCTGACAAGGGAGGTCTTTCAGGGCAAGCCGCGCTTTTTGGAAACGGTTTCATTGCATATTGTAGGGACGCATGTATGGACCACAAAACCATGTTTCGTTTTCGCTGAACGGTTTTAGTAGTATCAAAAAAGTGGTATGAATGCCCTCGATGTTCGATCCCTCCCCCCCGCGGCGACTGAAAAATTTTTGCAACTCAATGTTGGCGGCCACTTGTTGGCTTCAAAATGGTCCTGACGATGAATTTGACATCTGATTTTGATATTTAGCGCGATTTGGCACCAACCATAGGCGCCAACCCAAATGCAAAATTTAGTCGCCACGGGGGATCGAACCATTAACAGTACCTTATGCTTCTTTTTTGGTACTGCTATAACCGTTCAGCGAAAATGAAACATGGTTTTGTGTTCCCTACATGTTTCCCTACAATATGCAACAAACCGTTTTGAAAGAGCGCTTCTTGCCCTGAACGACCCCCTTGTGAAACAACAAAGTGTGGTGACCACGTAACAGGTTATACCGTCTGGATTTTCTCCAACGAGAGCAGCCAGTCCAAATCGGACACCGATGGCTTTCTTGAACGGGGTTCTTCTCCTGGTTGTAGAGGTCCCCCAAGAGGCCCGTCGCGCGGCGAAGGAGCAGACGCAGACGCGGCAAAGGACGAGTCGCAGCGCATACTGTAGCGGTTAGGCGTCAGGTTAAAGAGAGTGTACCATACTACGTCTCATATCGCACAGCACGCGCTGCTGCGACTCGTCCTTTGCCGCATCTGCGTCTCTTGCTTCGCCGCGCGGTCGGACCTCTTGGGGGACACCTCAGCTATAGAGCGGCGGAGATCAATATATTCTGATACCGCATGGCTAGCAACAATAAGAAGATGTATCGTAAAGCAGATGTTACTTCCGGTTTGTGCTTAGTAGCAGTTCTTGAGCCATAGTATGAAAATCATGGCTACTTTCTTTTCTCACTTCGAAGTCGAAGAAGCGAATAGGGTGGGCATGATTCGGCCATAAGTTACTCTACGGAGTGCCCTTTTACAGCCTACTTAAACATGATTAGAATTATTAAAGGAGCTTGTGGCATGGAATATTCACAAAATACGCGCGAACTCTTGAGACAACCTAATATATTCACTGCTTATTGACTAAATTTCCCGTCTATTTCCATTTTTGAACACATATCGGTAAAAGTAAAAAGTGCTTTTAAGCGATGTGGCTTGGAACTGGCGATTACAGCGGGATGTGACTGTTTATACAATAATTCTTGTGGTCTAATTAAACGAAGGGATATCGGGTCTCTATTTAAAGATTAAGAAGAGGTGGGAATAGATGAATAAAGTATTTTTGCATTCGAATTGAGTCACTATTGTTTACATATTGTAGGAATTCCTGAGGCAATAAGTGAACGCAATTTCATCTTAACTAAATGACGCTGGGTTACGAGGCCAGAGCGCGCCAACGAAGATGGCTAACATCAAAGCAATAGGGTTTGAGGTGAGTTTCTCTTTGTGACTAAAGCATGTTTCTCCTTAAGAAGGTTTATCCATCTGAGATGGTCCAATGCTCCGTCCTTGGCTCTTACGGGGAAGGCCTTTAAGGGGGTGCCAAGCTTCTTCAAAACTGTCTTTCGCATGGTACAGGGCCACATGCGGGAACCACAGAACCATGTTTAATTTTTCCTGAACGGCCCTCTGAATACCAGAAAAGGAAGGTCCCTAGTTCGATTCCCTCGTGGTGACAAATTTTTGCATTTCGAGTTGACGTTCCAAAATTCGCGCGCAAAATGGGTTAGCAACATTCATGGAAGCGCCTTATGCGCGAATTCTGAAACGTCAACTCGAAATGCAAAAATTTGTCACCACGAGGAATCGAACTAGGGACCCCTTTTCTGGTATTCAGAGGGCCAGGAAAAATTAACCATGGTTCTGTGGTTCCCGCATGTGCCCCTATATCATGCAAAAGACCGTTTTGAAAAAGCTCGGCACCCCTGAAAGACCTTCCTGGTTAGCGCCTTAGCCTTGTCAAAGCATTTCGCCACTTTCTACATGTGCTCCGCGCTTGCATACGCCAGTGCATATTTGATGGGGAAAGTTAAACTTCGACTAGAAATCCCGAACTTTGCCTTCAAAAACACAGACTGTTTCATGTCCAACCATTATAAGAGTTTCATTCGATGAAAATTAGAAATATTGCACAATAATCACATGTTCTGAAAAGAATGAAAGGCACAATTGATAAATTATGAATATTCAAATGCAAAAATGCTTGTCATATCAAATTCTATGAATTGCAACAAATAAGAAACAATGAATATACATACAAATAGTGATGAATACTATCGCTTTGGCATGTCACTGAGCAGAGGGAGAAGGTTGCACGGAATCCTCCATTTACACGTCTCTGAAAAGGGATGGGTGTTAAAAATATAATAGAAATGAGCTGGCCTACTTCAAAAGAAAATTCACAGTGATGAGCTAAACGAAAATGGGCGCTATCGCAGGATACGGGGGCATGATTTAGGATACAGCCTAGTAGGGCAGAAACTTTGGAATAATGAAGATTTGCTCACGCCCACCCCGGAGTCTCTCTCCCCGCCTAGACTCATTCCCGTCCTCACCACTAAAAGGAAATGTTCCACGTATTTTTAGATAGGTAAGCGTAACTCCCCGTATACTTGCGATACGCGTCCAAAATTGGATATTCATCAAGGATAAAGTTTTTTGGGCATTAATTTTTTCAAGGGAGTCCAACTTCATCGGCTGTTACGCTTCAGATTACCTTCCATTGCCCACCGTTTCATCGCTGCCCCTCAGGTTGGGTGAGCAAACGTGTTGTGAGTTCAGGGACCAGAAAGCCTCCGAAAAGCCACATTTACTCTCGACCACCCGCGGTGATGCGTAAAAGTTTCGTTTTTCATGGTCAATAATAATTTACGAGTAGCAGAGCAGTGTAAACTAGAAGGATTGCTCGAAAATCCGCTTACATTGTACGCCCTTACCCAATCGGTCTGCCCGAGACTTCCGCTCTCAACCTGCTCAAATTTTGGCCATAACTGCTTTGAGCGTGAGCCATGGAGCCTTTTTCGCGAAACGCATCTCGTGACGCTTTTCGAGGCATCAAGGGGTAATCCCAAATCGCCCAGTGGGCACGCGAACATGATGGCTAGATGGCTTTGTTCCATATCGGAGATTTACTATTCTATTTATGGATAGGAATTACGGTGAGAAATAGGAACCGTAGTTTGATTCGAGAAGGGAATTAAGCTCTAATGGGTGAAGAAGGAACACTTTCAGCTGCTCTGGGTCCCTAGCCCTAAGCAAGAATGTGCGCCTGGCATGTAATCGAGTCATTTGAGGTCACATGTTGATAAGCACGGCGAAATATCAGCGTTTCACCCCCCCGTTTGAAGCCCTACCGCCCTTTAGCAGAGATGACTATCCTGGCCTAGGATCGCAACCTCAGCATCATTCAGGAGAAAAATGTAGAGGAATTCTCAGGAAGTAACTGCACGCCTATCATGCAGTAATGTTTCAGTTTAATCGATTACCTCCTATCCAGCCCTGTTCCTTAGCGTCGAGACTTCATCGCTCACCCTTTCATTAGTGAGAATAGATAGCCCCCTCCCCGAGATACACTATTTCAAAATGTTCACGATTATTTGAGAGACGTCAACTTAGAGTTGAGAGGGTTCAGTGAATATTGTGACTGTGTTGCTATAGATTATGGCAACGCCACACATGTTGCTCAAAACGACTCTGATTAACAAAATTAAAGCTCAGAACTCACGATGTTTCCAGATGATTTTCCATTATAAATCTTAACAAGTCCTGATGTTTCTGTACGTGTTCCGTCGGTGGCGGTGGTATGTTTGGAAGTGGAGGGGTAACTTGTAACGGTTGTTGTTGATGATCTTGCGAGAGGGTCTGGAATAAAAAAAATAATCAATTAGTTTTCAATGGATCCTTAACTATGTCCAGATATTAAAAGAAAATAATAAGCAGACAGAACAGAGAAAATTGCTCTCGGAATTAAATAGAGCTTTCCTCCTTTTTTGAATTTGAAAAAGTGAACTTGAAGCCGTATTTTAAATTGGATCTGTATGGCAAGCCTCCCTGGAAGTTTCCTCGTGAAATTTGAACCCATAACAAGCCAAATCCAAATTTACATAAAAAAGACCCGAATTTCATGATATCTACCTTCAAATCCATTCTGATCACCAAAATTTTTCTCAGATATCGATAGAAGTAAATCCCTTGATGTGTGCGGAAACCAGAGTGGACTCTACAAAGAATATGTGTTGGTAGCGGAATTTTAGAGCGCTAATGCGGAAGTTTTACAGGTTTCATTTGATTTCATAATCTTGAAGGTTTTCTTAAAAAATCTGGTTCCTGTTATTCAAGGTAGGAATTAATTGACGAAATTTAATGGCTCGGCCGTTTTTTTCTAGCATTTAGACAATGTGTTCTGTTCTTGCGGGTCCACTCCAGTCTTTCAAACAAAAAGGCAAATGCGGCATGGCAAAGAACATCTAACACGATAAATTCAGGCGATTTCATGCTAAAAAGGATTAGTAAGCATTGCCGCTCATAAGATATATCCAAGAAGGAACTTTCTCTTCGATCATTGCATGGATATTTATCGCTGTGTAGAAATCTGAAATCAACTTGTCCAAGATTACAGTAGCTTTTTGTAGGTTTACTGGTGTTTCGCCGTCTTTGTGCCGAGCAGAAACCGCGCCAGGAATCGACTCACCACGAAGACAGACTTTGCGTGGAATGCGGCAAGCCTGCCATTATAAGCCGACAAATTGATCTCGGTACAGGCCTTGTAGGCACTCCTGGATTAGTGATGTCGGCTGTTGGTTTGCTGTTCTGGAGAAATTGTCTTCAGATTGCTTGCCCATGAAAGGATCGGTCTCAATGCTTTTCGACTTTTCAAGCTCTGGCGAAGGCGAAGAGGCCGAAACGTAAGCCTAATAAAAGCTACTGTAATCTTGGACATGCTGAAGCAAATTCTACACATATCCGTGATCAGACCCTTTTTGGGATGCATTCTACTTCCATTTGTACATTTCGTAGTGGCACTTTAATCGATCTGGCCTACACAATAATTTTGCGGGGGTCACCTGAATGTTTAACTCAGTGTTTTTATCCTCCCAGACAAGTCTGGTACCAATTAAACGATCCCAGAGGGATGGAAGGCTTGTTAGCCTGGCGCGATCGCACAATCAATGATTCCGAATCCTCGGGCCGCAACGCTCTGTAGGTACACCACTCGCCACTACATTACACCACTTCCGCCCGATTTCATGTTCCGACTGATAAAAAGATCATTATATATTATAGGGACTAATTGATCATTATTATTAATATTATAGGGATTAACAGGGTAAGCATTGCTATAAAAATTATTCGTTAAATGTATCGAACAACAGTAAAAATCTAAGAAGTTTATCAAATGGAAAGCTAAAGCTGATTCCAAGACGCACCGTTGAAGAAGAGTCGTTGAGATCCTCTGGTAAGTCGAGACTGATGGCTAACGATGTTGGCGTTGCTTCCTCGTCGTTTACAGCAATAGTTGAGATGTCGCTTTTGAAGCTCTGTAAAGGCTTCTTATGGTGGAATATTGAATTTTCTAAAGGATAAAGGATAAAGCATTTGCCGTTGATCAATCCCTTTTTGGGATGCGGCACGCATTCTACTTCCATTTGTACATTCGCAGTGGCGTTTGAATGCGATGTGGCCTATACAATGACTTGCGGGGGCCAGCCGATGTTCAAGTCAGTGTTTTTATCCTCCCAGACAAGTCTGGTACCAATTAACCGACCCCGGAGGGATGGAAGGCTTGGTTGGCCCGGGCGACTCACGACCCAGGATTTGATCCCGGACCGCTCGCGTGGTGAGCGCGCCACTTGTCACTGCACCACTTCCGCCCTTATAATAATATAAATTTATAT